TAAAATATAGTAATGGTTTCTTTTTGTTTTTTTCCTGAATTTAATAATTTCTTTGTTTTTTCATCTGTCTTATTTTCTTTGTACCTGTTGCTAATTCCTGCTGCACCGTCTAATCGCCATCAGTATGGCTTTCCCCACGGGCAGTCTCTGAAGGTAAAATATATTTCCATTTTATTTTTTGAGTTACCTACTCTCACTTGGGGCCGGCTGCTCTCTTGGTGTGTGGCACACTGTAGGTGACGTTCTGTGCCTTCCCTTTGTGGTCATCCTTGGCATTGCCTTTACCTTCTGGCTGGAGTCCCTGTTTTCTGGCTTTCGTGTCTCCCTCTCACTTGGCTTATCCCCTCCATTGGAGCACATCCTCCAGGACAGATGTCCATCAATATCCAAGTTCACTGAGTTCTTGGGTCAGATAGCAGAGCCTGGCTGTGAGCGATGCCTGTAGTTTTGTCAGGTTAAAAAGCTGGTTCAAGAGCAGGAGGCCTGGTGGGGGCAGGGCTCCACGTGCTGAGTCTTGAGTGGCACCACTTAGTGGAACAGGGGCCCTCTGTGACTTGTGCTGCGTTGTCATCCTGGCGAGTCCCTTCCCTTCTCCCCCTGTGCTGGATCTCCTGTGACTTAGAGGGCACCTTCCCGTGCTTTCTGAGAAAGGGACATAAGACTCCAGATGCCTGAAAATGTCTCTATTCTACTCTCACACACTTAAATGGTCACTTGCCTGGGTAAAGAATTCTAACTGGAGGATTCTTTAAGAATTTTGAGGGCATTGGTCTTCTTCCTTTCAAGATTGATGTTGAACAGTCCAAAGCCATTCTGATTCCTGATCTGTACTTTTTTCTTCTTTTCTGGAAACTTGCAGGATCTTCTCTTGGTCTCAGTGTTCTGAAATTTCACAATGGTGTGCTTTGGTGTGGGGTCTGTTTTATCAGTTGTGCTGTACATTTAATGGGACTTTTCAGTCAGGAAACATCTTTCTGGAAAATTCTCTTGAATGATTTTGTTGGTAATTTTGTCCCCTCTTTTTTGACTTTCTGTAACTCCTATTATTCAGATGTGGACACTTCTGGAGCAGTTTTCTAATTCTCTTTTCCTTCCTCTCCTGTCTTCCACCTTTTTTCTTTTTGAATATACCCCTTCTATTGAGTTTCGCATTTCTGCCAGCATGATTTTTATTGCCAGTTCTTTTTCGTTCTCTGAATGTTCTCTGTTAATAGCATCGCGTTCTTGTTTCATGCATGTAGAAGCTTCTCTGCACATAAAGTCTGTTTCCTTCAGGTCGTTTTCATTGTGTTGTGTTATGGTTTGGTTTTGGTTTATTTGCTCTGGTCTCTCTCTTACAAGCTAGATGCTTCCCTCGAATGTCTGCCAGTCCCTTGGTTGTCCCTTCTGGGTTAAGAATATAGAACTAAAAAACTGATTGGAAGCTCCGAGCATGATGGTGGGGCTAGTTGACTTTCAGATCCACGTTGGTTGACCTGAATGAGCCATTTTGACCCCATTTGGGTGCTGGTGTCAGGATTGGCATCCTTAGACCTTTCCTCCTGGATTAGATTCTCCAGAGAAGAAGGTAAGGGGCTGGTGCCAGTGTTTTTGGAGCAGCCTGAGGGATCCAATACCAGCATTTAAAATGCCCTCGTCTTCTAGGTTTTGATGCATCACCTTTGCTGTCAGCAGTGCTACTTGGCTCTCTGTGCAGAGACCCCCATCTAATGCTCTTCAGAGAATATAAATCACCCTCAGGCTGCTGGGGCAGGTGGTCTAGGGATTTGCTTCTTTCAATCGCCTCTTCACTTTCACACGTGTGTCCTCCTCACCCCTAGTCCCAGGGTACCTGGTGCCAATGTGTCACGTGTCTGCTAAGGGCTCTGTGTTAGGAGTCACATTTCACCCTCCTGTCTGAAATTTGGCTGTCACGAGTCTACTTTTCAGATCCCCAAATTTCGCTGGTGGTGTCTCTTCTCTTATTCAGCCCAATCTTGTGATTTTACATCTTCTTAAAAAATCTTTTTATTAGGTTGGATTTTGAAGGTAGTGAAATTTGGAGTGTACTTTTAAAAAAAAATCTCAATTCTTTTTCCACAACAGTTTCTCTTTCTTTTTCTCTTCTTGACCCATAGGAAGAAATCCACAACAGTTCTGTTATTGAAGTAGTGATGACAGGACCACAGCCATTGTGAGACCAAGATGTTTTCATGACGGATTTCTTAAAAATTATTTAAGTTCTTGTTATAAACACTTTTCATGGTCACTGTGGACGTGAAGAATATAAAAGAGAAAATAAATGCTGTCATGGTGGGAGAGTCTTGGCAAGGAGTTTTTGGTGGCGGTGGTTTTCATGGTGCAGCCCTCGGCCTGGGTGAGGAGGAGGCTTTGGGGCCAGGAGCAGCAGGGCCACACCTGTCAAAGGGCCTGCATGGTGGACACGTGCTGCTGTGTTGGGTGTGGTCCCAGAAGCGGCCCACTGCCCACAGCCAGGCTGCTTGAGAGAAAGAAGCTTCTAAGGGCAGGTGGGCAGTGCTGTGTCAAGGTCCAGCAACTTGGCCACCAAGTGGGGGCCTCCAGAGTTGTGCAGTGCGTGGCCTGCCCAGCCACATCCTGGATGATTTTAGATGATGCGGGTGATTTTGAGGGACACTTACTGATAGGGCTGGTCCATTGAGCAACACAAGGGACCTAGGTTCAACCCAGGTCAGCTGCATTTTTGGATGTCAGGGTCTTGGGTGGGCGAGGAGGAAGAAACACTTCCTTTCCTTTTCAGGGTGTCTGCCCTCGAGGTCAATGCCTTGTGATGTTCTGCTTTTCCCATCTGCTTCCTTCCTGTCCCCACTGGGACCAGAGGTCCTCTGAAAGGGTTCTTACAGCACCTCTGGTGGCACAGATGACCCCTGGCTGTCTCTAGGCCCCAGGGCAGCGTTGAGACCAACTCCTGCCACTTACTTTGGACCTGGCCCCTCTATCCTGGGGCTGCTGACGGCCCTCCCTCCCGTGTGCTGCAGCACCTCCCCTCCTGTTGCCGAGGGCCTCAGCTGCTTGCTTGGCACGTCAGAGCTAGAAGACTTCTTGGGGGGCCGGCCCGGTGGTGCACTGGAGAGTGCGCCGCTTGGGAGCGCGGCACTGGGGGAGGCTGGGATTTCCCAGGGGCTGGTCGGGGTGGGAGGGAGGGTGCGGGAAGCGTTCAAAGGGAAGAGCAGACGTGAGCGGAGAGAAGGGAGGAGGCGGGAGGCAGCTGGAAGGCCCAGAAGCAGCACCCGCTGCGCCGCCAACACCTGGGGAAGGGGCTGGACCGGTGGGAGAGCCAAGCCTGTGTTTTCTCCGGTTCCTGGTTTTCCAGGGAGCCCTGGCTGCAGGGGGATGGGAGAAGCCCAGGAGGGAGGGGAGCCCTGGGAAGCAGAACCGGGAACTGGAAGGGGAAGGGTGTGGGTGGGCCGGGATCCAGCCTGCCTCCCACTTTCCTCTCTTGCCCGGGCCCTGGCGCACTCAAGGCAGGGGCTGGCCACTGTCGCCTCCTGGGAGTGGGGAGCAGGAGCCCTCGGCGGCGTGTTTCCCTGGATGTTTCCCTGGAGAGGAGCGAGGAAAGGAGGGTGAAGCGTCAGCACCCGCGCCCCCAGCTGTGGCCCCGAGGCCCAGGCTTTGTTACTGGCTCGAGGCCCACACCTGGAGCAGGGAGGAAGAAAAGCCCCTAAAACTCAGCTGTCTGGTTCCGAGGTCCCCCTCAAGTCCACAAGTTTTGAAGCCAAATGGGGCAGGTTCCTGGGGTGGCCTCGCAACCTCCCTCAGCGTGGCCGTGACCGTGGCCGTGGCCTCTCCCCCAGGGCGTCCTCTAGGGCACGGAGCAAGCCCGGCTGCAGCCTCAGCTCAGACCCCAGCTTTCGCTGCGCCCAGGCGTTGGTCCTGAAGTGAGGTGACATTCATTTCACTACATCCTGTCACTACTGCTCACTTCCTCCACGTGGCGGGAGCAGGGTGGGGGT